ACAACCAGCCAACCAATCAACCAGCCAACCAATCAACCAACCAACAACCAACAACCAACCAACCAACCATCCAACCAATCAACCAACCAACCAACCAACAAACAGCCAACCAATCAACCAACCAACAACCAACCAACCAACAACCAACCAACCAACCATCCATCCAACCAACCAACCAACCAGCCAACCAACCAACCAACCAACCAGCCAACCTGATAACAAGCTCATGAGGCAACATTCCTTTCTGTGGATACTCAATCCTCGCCGGAAGTTCTCTGTCCAATCGTGTCCACGTGACATTTGGTGTTGGACTGTTTGTGATGGTGATAACAATGATGATGATGATGATGATGATGATGGCGTTGCTGTTGATGATGATGATGATGATGACGACAATGATAATGATGATGATGGTGAAAATAAGATGGTAGAAGAGGCATCAACAACATCCATCCAGCCCCTTCCCCGACACTGCCAGCCCAGCACCACTCACTATCCAGAGAAGATGCACTTCATCCTCTTCGTCTGGCCGGCCAATGCAAGATCGTTAGTTGGAGAGGACCACATCAGTTTCGGCGCTTTCGGGGAGATCTCATGATCTGTACCACGAGACGACGACGACGATGATGATGATTGGAATGATGGTGATGATGGTGGCGATGATGATTGAAATGATTGTGGTGATGATGATGATGGAAACGATGATGATGATGGTGATTGAAATGATGGTGAAGATGGTGGCGATGATGATTAAAATGTTGATGATGACGATGATAATAGAAGTTTCATGATGATGGTGATTTTTATAATGATGATGATGATGATTATAGAAGTTTCATGATGATGGTGATTTTTATAATGATGATGATGATGATTATAAGGGTGATTAGTTGGTGATTAAAAATAACGATGAAAAGATGAAAAAAAGTAAAAAAAAATAATTACAATAATAATAAATAATAATAACAACAATATTGATTGCAGAAAGTCCTTATTGAGAATAACGAAACGAAACGAAACGAAACGAAAAGCTTAGTCACGGTTACAAAGGCATGCGTGAAACTTGAATACTTTCAGTTGTTAGTTTGAAATAATTTGTTATTTAAATAATTAATCAATTTATCGTTATTGTAAATAGTGATAAAATATTTCAAAATACCATATTATTTATAACTGGAAGAACTGTTGAAATTATTACTACTACTACTACTACTACTACTACTACTACTACTACTACTACTACTACTACTACTACTACTACTACTACTGCTCAAGCAAAATATCTTTGCTTATTAACTAAATTTTGTCAGTTATGCAAAGCAGTCGCCCTGTAGAGTGTAGTCTGTTATTCTCTTGGCATAAGTTGGACGCTAAAAATGTTGCTGAATGTTTGAAACTTGTCTCAGCCTGTCTCAACACAAGAACGGGCATCGACAACTTCTTAAGGCGTTTATATTACGATTATGATAATTAATTATATTATGATTATGATAATTAATTATATGGTGATTATGATAATTAGTTATATTATGATTATGATAATTAATTATATTATGATTATGATAATTAATTATATTATGATTGTGATAACTCCCTGACTATTGCAAACATTTTCAGACCGCATCTCAGTATAACAAGAAAGATATGATGAAAGATTCAAGCAAGCTGGAAATTGAACTATAACTTTTCCAAACAGGAAAACGGCCGCCTTGATGTAATCTTTATTTCATTTCATATTTTTGAGGTCGTTATTCGAATGGGAGGATTTGAATGAGGCTAATTGCTGGACCGAAGACACAAATAAATTGAAAATATTACCACCAAGTGAGTTTTGTTTTATTTTAGGTGGTTAGTTATTTTTGAGGTGCTTGTTTTACTCAACCATGTCTCACAATTGAGGAGAATTTTTTACACAACAGCCGTAGCTGGGAGTTAAAACAGTTTCATTGTGTAACTACTTTGTGACTGATTAATCTAACAATATATTAACTATTAATATTTAATAAATCAAACAATTAATCGTTGACCAAAACTGAATCTACTGAGTCATTTAAGTTTGTATTAGTTACATTTATAAACACTTATCAACAAAACTCTCAGCCAACCCGCGCACCAACCATTATAACCATAATCAAATCACTAATTTGATCAATCATTCGTTTAAACAAAAATAAGCCAACAAGCGGATTAGGCAAACAACTAAACCAAAACAGCCGATTAACTTACCAACCATTAAGCCAATCGAACAACCAAAAACTAATTAGCCAATCAGACAGCCAACTAACCTACCAACCTACCAACCAACCAACCAGCAAGTCTGCCAATCAACCACTCAACCATCCAGCCACTCAACCACCAAACCTCGATTCGGCTTTGGAGTGATAATGCAGTCTTCTCCTTGAACCAAACTCCTCAAGATGCTGTTCTGTGAGATGCAGATGTACGTAGCTCCGTGCCTGTGGTCCTCCATCTCGACATTTGCAAAGTAGAAATTACCTAAATGTTTGGAGGTCAGTTCGACATGGCATAGACGCCGACAGAATTGTCTTCATTTTGTTTGCTTTGCGTGGGTTCGAGAAGAAAAATTTTGAAAAATTTTCATGTTAAAATGTCGAATTAATCCAACGACATTTACCTTTTAAAATTTTTTAGTCAAATGAAACTTTGGTTTGAACAAGCAAATTATAAGATTTTTACAATGTCGACTTTTTGTGACATTAATAAAAATATTTAAAAAATGAATGCATCGTGAAATGTATAAATGAACGATAGATGCCTGCTGGCAATGTCAATGGTTAAATTATTTAATTTGTGTTTATAAATAAGAATATTAAAAGTTGTGTGGTCATGATAAAATATTTAGCTTAGAGATTTCAGACGGTTGAATAAAATTGTCTTCGACCGTAGCCCAAAGAAGACGATAAAAATATTTAAAGTAAATTTCGTTCATGAGCAAACTTTCAAGAGTGAATAACAAATTAAAAGTTTCGTATGAATTGACATGGAATTTAAATCAAATTATTTTCGTTAAATATTTCACTTTTTACAACAAAACTCTTCTCCAGCATTGTATAACCCTCTAAAATATTTTCCCAGTTTATTCGTCCTACTTGTTCTTGTCATCCTCGTTCGTTCGTTCCAATTTAAAAGCTGCTCTCAGCCAATCTTCATTCAACTAGCCAACATAATGACCATGATGAAATCGTTGAGAGTTGATATGTTAGTATGAAAACAGATTTTGAAAGCGTTACTTGAAAATTGTCATAAAAATTGAACTAGCATCTGAAAAACAAAAAACAAAAATGATCAAATGAAAGAATTAAATAGATGAAGTTCACGACATGAGACCGCTAACTACATGATGACGTTAGGTACAAAGCATGCAGAGAACTTTAAATTGATACAACAAAGTCACACGATGTGACGTGGAGAGGAGCAATAACGACCAATCAGGTAGTCATCGTATCAGGAAATTTCAAGCTAGAAATCAAACAAGCGGTCAAGCGAAATTTAAAATGAGATGAGTCCT